TTATAGTATGTGAATGTAATGAAATACTATAGGGCCATAAGAAATGATGAATAGGATAGTTTCAGAGAAACCTGAGAAGACTTGTATGAAATGACACAGAATGTGAACAAAAGCAGAACAGTTTGTACAATAACAACTTTATGAAGACAAACAACTTTGAAAGACTTAAAAACTCTGAGTAATGCAATGACCAACCAGGATTCCAGAGGACCCATGATGAAATATGCTGCCCACCTCCTGACTCAAGGTGCAGACTGAGATATGTATGTATGTATTTTCTAAACGTGGCCAATGCAGGAATATGTTTACCTGACTATGCATATTTGTTACAAGGATTTTATTTTTCATTTTTTCAAGGGGGAATGGAAGGGAAGAAAGAAAATGGATTTTTCTTAAATTTTTAAAAATTAAATTAAAAAATTCTATGATTTGGGACTTTAAGTTTATTTGTATTATCAATGGATTTGGGGGACATTTGCTAATTTGGACATTTCTCTAAGCACAGGAAATGACAAACTACTCCAGTATCTGTGCCAACAAAACCCCATGGACACTATTAAAATGATAAAACAGATGACACTGGGAGATAAGCCCCTCAGGTTGGAAGGTATCCAATTTGCTACTGGGCAAGAGGAGAGGATGACTACAAGTAGCTCCAGAAAGAATGAAGTGGCTGGGCCAAAGCTGAAAGAAAGCTCAGCTGTGGGTGCATCTGGTAATAAAAGGAAAGCCTGATGCTATAAAGATCAATATTGCACAGGAACCTGGAATGCAAGATCAATGAACCAAAGTAAACTGAATGTAGCCAAACAATTAGAAAGATTAAACATCAATATCTTGGGTGTCAGTGAACTTAGATGGGAATGGGGAAATTTAATTCAGCTGATCACTATATATACTGTGGGCAAAAATCCCTTAGAGGAAATAAAATAGCCCTCACAGTTAATGAAAGGGAGAGAAAAAGCAGTACTGGAGTATAATCTCAAAAATGACAGAATGATAACTGTTAGAATCCAAGGAAAACTATTCATCACAGTAATACAAGTCTATGCTCCAACCACTGATGCCAAAGAGGCCAAAGTTGATCAGTTGTAGGAAAACCTACATCATCTTCTAGAAGCAACACCAAAAAAAGATGGCACATTCATCACAGGGGATTGGAATGCTAAAGTAGAAAATCAAAAGATAACTGGAACAACAGGCAAGTTTGTTTGGCCTGGGAGTACAAAATGAAGCAGGGCCTCTGCTTAATAGAGTTTTAATCAATCACTAATAGAGTTGTCTTAAGATAACTCACTGATCATAGCAGACACTCTTTTTCAACAACCCAAAAGGTGATGCTACATATGGACATCACAAGATGGTCACTCCTGAAATCAGATGGATTATATTATACTTTGCGGCTAAAGGTGGAAAAGCTCTATACAGTCATTTAAAACAAGACCTGGAGCTGAGTATTGCAAAATTCAGACTTAAATTGAAGAAAGCAGGGGAAAACATTAGACCATACAGGTATGACCTAATGAACATTTCTTCTGAATATGAGTAATGAATAGATTTAAGGGATTAGATCTGGTAGATAAGAGTGCCTGAAGAACTAAGGACAGAAGTTTGAAATATTGTGCAGGAGGCAGCAGTAAAACATCCCGAAGAAAGCAAAATGACTGATGAGGCTTTACAAATAGCTGAGGAAAGAAGCAAAAGGTAAAGGAGAAAGGGAAAGATATGCCCAACTGAATGCAGAATTCCCAAGAACAAGGAGAGATGAAAAAGGTTTCTTAAATGAGCAATGCAAAGAAATAGAAGAAAACAACAGAATGGGAAAGGCAAGAGATCTCTTCAAGTAAATTAGGTATCAAGGGAACATTGCATGCAAAAATGGGCATGATAAAAGACAAAAATGTTAAGTAGGGACTTAACAGAATCAGAAGAAATTAAGAAGAGGTAGCAAGAATACACAAAAGAACTACATGAGAAAGCTTAACATCACTGATAACCAGGATAGTGTGGTTACTGATCTAGATCCAGACATTCTGGAAAATGAAGTCAAGTAGGCCTTACGAAGAAATGCTAACAATAAGGCGGTTATGGAATTCCAGCTAAATCCTTAAATTTAAAATCCTGAAAGATGATGCCATTAAAGTGTTGCACTCAATATGCCAGTAAATTTGAAAGACTCAACAGTGGCCACTGGATAGGAAAAAGATCAGCTCATGTCCCAATCCTAAAGAAGGGTAATGCTGAAGAATGTTCAAATTACCAAACAATTGTGCTTACTTCACATACCAGCAAAGTTACACTTAACATTCTGCAAGTTAGGCTTCAGCAATATGTGAACTGAGAATTACCAGAAGAGCAGGCTGGTTTTCAAAGAGGCAGAGGAACTAGAGCCCAAATTGCCAACATTCACTGATGGTGGAGAAAGCAAGGGAATTCCAGAAAAACACCTCCTTCTGCTTCACTACACAACAGCATTTGACTGTGCAGATCATAAGAAGTCTCCTGAGGAACCTGTATGAAGGTCAAGAAGCAACAATTAGAACCAAACATGGAACAACTTACTGGTCTAAGGGTTGGAAAAGGAGTACAACAAAGCTGTACATTGTCACCTTATTTATTTATCTTATTTGCAGAGTACATCATGCAAAATGCCATGCTGGATGAATCAAAAGCCAGAATTAAGGTTGCCAGGAGAAATATCAACAATCTCATATATACAGGGGGAAAAAAAAGCTGGCTTGAAGCTAACATAAAAATAACCCCTAAGATGTTGGCTACTGGTCCCTGTGATTTCCTGGCAAATAGAGGGAGAAGAAATGAAAGCAGTGTAAGATTTTATATTCTTGGGCTCAAAGATCATTGCAGAGGGAGACTGCAGCCATGAAATTAAAAGATGCTCCTTGGAAGGAAAGCTATGGCAAATCTAGACAGCATACTAAAAAGCAGAGACATCACCTTGCCCACAAAGGTCCATAGAGTCAAAACTATGGTTTTTCCAGTAGCAAGGTATGGCTATGAGTTGGACTACAAAGAAAGCTGAGTGTTGCAGAACTGTTGCTTTTGAACTGTGCTGTAGAAGACTTTTAAGAGCCCTTTAGACAGCAAGGAGTTTAAGTCAGTCAATACTTGAAAGAAACTAATTCAGGCTATTCACTGGAAGGTTAAATACTGAACTTGAAGCTTAAAATACTTTGGCCACATAATGAGACTTGGACACAATGCCTCAATTAAGAAGCCTAAAATTGTATTAGCCTTTTATAGAGAAAGCCCAAAGGAGTGAGGGAAGGAAAGTGATCTGAGTGTTCTTCAGTCTCAGAAGAAAGTCTGAGAGCCACTGCTTTCTGATGTCATGAGTACCATCAGGGATAATGACTGGCTTAATAAATACTTGTTTGATTAATGAGGTAGGGGTGAGGGGTGTAGAAAATAGACAAAGGATAGAAGGGGTTGATATTTCAACCCCTCTGATGGTATACAGTCAGATAAGAAGCATTTAATGAGTGTTTACTATGCAGCAGGCACTGTGCCTTTTCATTTTGATGATCACAACTGCTTCCTTCAAGACTCACCTCAAATCTTAACTCTGCAAGACGCCTTTCCCAGGCCCTCTCCTCCAGTGGCACCTTCCAAGATTACCTCAAATATACATCGTATATATCCTCTAGCACAAGGGTGCACGTGGTCTCCCCCATCAGAATGTGAGCTCCTTGGGAGTAGGAAGTACTTTTTCACCTTTTTTAAAAATCCTCAGCACTCATCACAGTATCTAGTACTGGACTGTAAGTGTTTAATAAGCAAACCCTTACTGATAGACTGAGTGCTAGGGACACGCAGGTTGGTCCCAGCCTGAGAGCTTGGGCAGGAGGAGAGACAGGCTTGTGCTTGCCTCCTGGAGGGGACACCAGGGCAGGCAGCAGCTCTAGCTTCTCTCTTCCAAATGACCCATCTCATCTATCCTGGGAGGCAAGGCTCAGGTTGGAAGAGGATCATGACATCAGGAAGGTAATACCACAACTTGCAAGTGAACCTCACTTTCTCGACCCATCTGGGCCCAGTGGCAAGATGTAGATCAGGAAGACTGGAAATGGCCCCCCCAAAGCTCATGAATCCTAGCCTGGCCCAGTCCAGATCTCACCAATGTGGCAGGGCTGTAGGAATGCTGGTCCCTCCATCTCCCCTGTCATCCATCACATAATCGACTTATTTACCTCCATCCACCTAGCCTAGATGGGAAGGTGGAAGAATGAAAAGCAGGGCAGTTTAGACAGACAGTCTTCCCTTACTTGCACCAGTCCAGGCCAAGGACTTTCCTTGGCCAGCACAGCCTGGCCAGGGGAGACAGGCTGAGAGGGACTTCAGAGCCAGACCCCCCCAGTTCTGGAGTCCAGTGGGCCCAGGAAGCTTGTAAGATAGCATAATCACATCCTAGGAAATGCAGCACCTGAAGATAGGTAGCAGCACAATACAATGGAAAGGGACCACAGAGTCAGCAGACCTGGGGCCTGGTATAGCCCCCATAACTCTCCACATGACCCTGGTCAAATTACTGAACTTGTTTCCCCTTTCTGTAAAATGGGGATAATAATCCCTGCTTTGTTAACCTAACAGGACTGTTGGGAAGAACAGCTGCAACAAGGTGATAAGTCTTTGAAAGGTTTAAGCCTCACAACATATCAGTTAGGGTTCAGCATCACTAAAGCCCAGCCACGTTTCCCCAGGAAAACACCACCCACGCCAGGAGCTGGACGACTCTTCAGTAATTACCAGACACTCCAGGGAAATTGGGGTGGGTTGGTTCACCAAGAAGGTAAGAAGATGGTGTCTTTGGGGAAGCAGAGGCAGAGGAAAGGGAGTGGGCTGTTTCATTCTGTGACTAATGCCTGCCATTCCTGCCCCATCCCTGTGGGTTCTCTAGGAACTAGAACGACGACTCCCAGGAGAGATGATCTCCCCGCTCCCCAACTCCAGGGTCAGAAGAGATGACACTGAGTGAGTCACTCTGCACCCAAAAAACTCCTGGGAGGGCTTTATTCACCGGCCTTGGGCCCAGGTCCTCTCAGCCAGCCTCACAGCACAAGGGGCTGCTGGGAACCCCAGAAGGCAAGATGAGAGGTGAGCTTGAAGCATCATGGTCCAAGAATAGAAGGGAAGGAGAGCTCTCTTCCACTTCTTGCCTTTTTCCCCTCAAAAACCACAAAGTTCTTGGAAGAAAACCCTTTTCTCTGTGGCCTCCTCCCCCTCCTGCATCTGCTGCCCAAAGTCCTGTCCTGGGGAGGCCCTGGTCAGGTCCTCAGGCGACCTCCTGTCACACATCCAGACCCCGCTGCCTCCTCACAGATTCTTGTTCTTGTTTAACTTGTTTTGCCTCCAGATGTTCTGTTTCCGCAGCAGCCGCCAGTACTCCCGGCTTTCAGGGTCTAGCTCCTCCAGGGTCTTGGGTGGCCCCAGGTTCATCTCAAAGAGCCTGAGGAAGAAAAGCCAGTCATTCCCCTGATCAATGACCTTCCATGGCTCCCCATGGTCTACAGCAGGGAGGGACAAGAACCCATCTAAGAATGGTTTTTACATTAAAATGTAATAAAGCTTTATCTAAAATATATTAAAACCATTCTTAGCTTGCAGCTTTATGAAAAACAAGCAGGGGCTATATTTGGCTAATCCCTGGTTTACTGGATAAAGACCAGATACCTGAGCCAAGTATTTGAGGTCTTCCAGTCAATTCCTGTCGCTCAGCAGTGCTACATTTCCCCAACCAGGCCAGCCTCCTTACCATCCCCTACACAGGCCAGGACAATGTCTGCTCTTTTCCTCTATCCAAATCCTCTGAGGTCCAATTCTAGTCACACCTGCTATAGGAAACCTTCAATCCACCTCAACAAGCAGTCATTAAGCACCTACTATGTGCAAAGCACTCTGCCAGGTGCTAGGAATACAAAGACAAAAAAACCAAACCAAAACAAAAAAAACCCAAAAGCCATTCCCTGACCTTCAGGAGCTTCCATGCTACTGGGGGGACGGGACACGACATAACATATAAACAAATGAGGCGCTACCAAGTAATTGGAGGAAAGAGAAAGCATTAACGAGTGAGATCAGGCAAAAGCCTGATGGAACAAACTCCCCTAATCCCTTAATACCCTTGTCCTTCCAATAATTCAGGTTTACAATCATAGAGTCATACTCAACTATTCCCTCTCCCTCACCTCGAATATCCATCTGGCTGCTAAGTCTGGCCCGTTCTGCCTCCATAACATCTCTCACATCCATCCCCTTCTGTCCATTCCTATAGCCCTCAACCTGGTTCAGGCCTTCATCCCTTCTTGACTAGACTATTTCAAGACCTGCCTTATCAGACTCCTGCTTCTCCCTTCTCCAATCCACCTTCCACACAATCATCAAAATAATCTTCCTCAAGAAGTATGACTATGTTACTCCCCTGCTCAGTAAATATGAATGCCTCCCAATTGCTTCTACAGTAAAATACAAAATCCTCAGTTTGCCATTTTAAGCCCTCTCCAGTCTAGCTCCAGTCTGCCCTTCCCAGGCTTACTGGACATCACTCCCCTTCACTCCCTCCCCATTCTAGCCAAACTGGACTCTCCATGTTCCTGGCATTCCATTTCCCCTCTCCTTGCCTCTGCATGGGCCATCTATCTCCTCAGCTGGGAGATGGATTCATCTCCACCTTTTACAGTTCCTAGTTTCCTTCAAGGCTCAGCTCAGGAGCTACCTCTAACACAAAACCTTTCCATTCTGAACTGGATTGGAAATGAGCCTCGAAGGAAACAATTTCTTTTTTAATTCCATAGATATTTATTAAGCACCCACGACATGATTCTAAGAGGTGGGAGCGTACACTGCAGCCATGGATGAAGAGTCTGTGCAAAAGTAGGAGACAGAAGGCTGAGTTTGGGGAACAATATCCGGCTAAGTGATTCTTCTCTCCTTTGAGCTCGGACAGCCTCCAGGTACCAAGCGATATACACTTCCCTGAGGCTTTTATGTGAGGCTGGAGGTAAGAAAAGAGGAAGCTATGCCTCAGGGGGCTCCCTTCGACTCACCAACGAGGATACTCAGAGTCAGGCTTCAGGGCCACTTCAGGGCCTTGTTTGTAGATGTTGACTCCCATAGCATGTGTAGTGAGCAGAACTGGGTCCTTGCACACATCTGGGTCCTTCAAGGCTTCTGCAGGTGAAGCTTTGCCTTTGCCTCCTTTGATGACTGTGAAAAGAAGGACAACTCAGCTCAGCACTGCGCCAGAATATCCCAGGGCGGGTGAGAAGCATTTATTAAGCACCTATTATGTGCTGCAAAAGTTAGAAAAGGTTAGTCATTTCCCTCCCCCCCTCCAATATTCATTCAGCAAGCACGAGGTGTATGACAATGATAGCAAACATACAGTAGTGCTTACTATGTGCCAGGATATATGCTACGAGCTTTACAATTATTTCATTTGATCTTCATAACAACCCTTGCCGGTAAACGCTGTTATTATACAGTTGAGAAAACGAAGGCAAACCATGGTTTAAGTGATTTGCCCAGGATTACACAGCTAGTAATATCTGAAGCCAGAAGTGAACTCAAGTCTTCCTGACTCCAGGTCTGGTGCTCTATATACACGAACTACCTGTCCTGGGGTAACTCTTTAGTCTAGCTTCCTTCCAGCTCTGATATTCTATATCCTAATACGGGTCCCTGGCAGCTATGACATTGGACAGTTAAGTGGTAAAGTGGATGGAACAAGCTGGTCCTGGAGTTGGTAGGACCTGAGTTCAAAGCTGGCCTTAGACACAGGTGACCCTGGGCAAGTCACTTAACCCTGTCTGCCTCAGTTTCCTTATCTGTCAAATGAGCTGGAGAAGGAAATGGCAAACTGCTCCTGTATTTCCACCAAAAAAAATTCCAAGTGGGGTCATGAAGAGTAGAACACTGCTGAAACGAGAGCTCTGATGATTCAATAAAATCTAGCTCGAGGCCACTTAGTCAGGGTCACAAAGAACAACGAATTTGGGAATTAGAACATCTGAGTTCGAATCCCAGCTCTTTTACTTACTAGTTGTGTGACCCTGGGTGGGTAATTTCACTTTTTCTAAAATCAGCTTCTTTTGTAAAATAAGATAATTAGCCTAGAAGTCTCTTTTGGTTCAAAATCCTGGGTCCCATCCTTCTGAAAGTCTGGGTGCCCACAAGCTACGAGGATCAGTTACTGAAGCTTTTTTTTCCCCTTTCTCATCTCCTGGTTTGCATTTACCACCTTCCCACCCCCACAAAACACACACAGGGGATTGAGGGAAGGGAACAAGCATTTATTAAGCATCTGCAGTGCGCCAGGCACTGTGCTAAGCGCCACACAAAGATTATCTCAATTGATCGATTAGTAAATCTCCTACCTTAGGCCAGATGACCCCCCAATGCCTCCATTCAGACAAGAGGTAGGAAAGGTGCGTGGGCATGACCAAACATCACCTAAGGCGGGGCCTTCTCAGACTCCAGTCCCGCCCTCACTCCCTTTCCACATGCCTAAGACCACAACCGGCGCCTGCGCACTACGTTGAGCGCGGTGACCCAGGCCCACAACGAGCGCCTGCGCATTGAGCTGACAGACTCCGGCATCCTCAGTGAGCCCGGTCTCGATCTCGGTCCCGCTCCTACAGCCCGAGTCGGTGCAAAGTCGAGGCTGGTCCCCGAGCTCTGTTATCGCCCAGTCCGGGCCAACTCACCCGGCCTCTTAGCGTATTCCCGAAAAGAGAGGCTACAGGGGGTGGCGGGACCCCGTAACGAGGATCCCCACAGACTCTTCCAGCTCCGGGAAACTCCGAAGACAAACCGCGCGGCCATGACTTCCTCAGGTCACGCGGACTGTATTCGTCACTAGGAAGCGCCCAGAACTGAGGTGGCCGCACAGCATTTTGGGAAGTGTAGTCCTTGCCAAGAAGCTTGAGTAGTTCCCAGGTTATGGAGCTGGGAGGGGTCTGAGGGCCATGTAGTCCAACCTCTAAACAAAATTGTGAATCGGACAGAAATCTTCAGTAGCTCCCAAGTAACGTTCACATTCTTTTTTTTTGGCATTCAAGGCCTTCCAGAGTCTGGTAACTTACACTACCTTCCCAGCTTTATTATTTTTTTCCTTCACCACTCTCCAAAGAACCTGTCCTATTCCAAACTATAGACTCCACTTTTCCGTATTTTTATTCATGCTGTGCCTTCTGCCTAGAATGCATTCCCTCTCTGCCTCCTGATCATAGGATTTAAGTTAGATTTCTTACTTTACAGACGAGCAAAATGAGAAACCCCGGGAGTTTTTTAGTGACTGCTGACGTCTTTCTTATCCCTTAAACCTGACTTAAGTAGCACCTCTTCCAGGAAGTATTCCTTGTGAAATACTGACCTTTAAGCGCTTTGTTACGTACCTCCAACGTCACATGAATGAAGAACATTTATTAAGCAGTCATATGCCAAGCACCGCATTTGCCCTCCTCCAAAACTTATGTGTTGTTTTCTGCTGTAGTTATCTAGCAGAGGGCGGGTCTCTGAAAGCCGGGATCCCCAGATTAAGTCCTGTCTCTGACTGACTTGGTATGTGACCATGGGGAATTTCCTTAGGTTCTCAGTGCCCGGGAAAGCCTCTAAAATTGTAAAGAGCAGCAGCTGGTCATCTGATGGATCCTTTCTACCCCTAGAGCTCCCTACACCAGTGGAAACAAAATCAACCTGCTGTTGCCTCTCCTCCCAACTCCCCAAGATATCTGTGTATGGAGAAGTATGTAGAGGCAGCGGGGTGACAGTGGATGGAGGACGGGACCTCAGTTCAAACCCAGCTTCAGACACTTACCAAGCTATGTAACCCTGAGCAAGCCACTTATCTCTCTTTCTCGGTTTCCTTATTTGTAGAAATTTAGGCGCTGTGCCCAAAAGGAATGTAAATCTCAATCTCACTTTTTTTTTTAACCCCAAATCACTGTTGCTTTCATTGATTGGCGAAACATATATCCCTGGCTTTACTTGGTTATTATTTGGGCCGGTATGGGGCAGAGTGAACGTAAATAGTAATTGTTTCTCTTTTGGCCGGAAACCCCGAGGGTCTTCCCTTCCCAGTTTGATTTTTTTTTTTAATTAAAGGGGCCATCCTTTGACTCACTTCTTAAAACAGCGCTTGTCTCTGAATAGGCATAGCCTCAGTTGAACAGAGACCTGGGAAAGATCTTAGTTTAAAAAAGCCAAGGTCTCCCACTTCATCCTGAACCATTTTCAGTGGACCCTCGTGTAGTAATTTTGGGGTCCCAGCGCCCCTAAACCTCTAAACCTCAATAGTCCTGATCTCTATCTAGCCACTGGACCCAGATGGCTCCAGAGGAGAAAGTGAGGCTGGTGACTCTGCACAGACCTTCCTCACTTAACTTTAATTCTCTTGCATGTCATGGTATCACCTCCTTGATGTCATGGTCCTCTTGGAAAATGAGGGGCAAACAGTAGCAACCTCCAAGGTTGTTCTTAGATGCAAGTGAAAAAATATTTGTAAATTGTTTTGCCAATCTTAAAAGTACTATATAAATGCTAATTATTAAGTATTGAAGAATAAAATGTAAAGATATGGCATGGAATTGAGGCAATTCAAATCTGGCATTTGAACAAGCTGTTGACAGTAGAAAAGTGATTTCATTTCATGAAAAGTAGTTTTTGTCTTTTGTCCCAAGTTTCAGAGGCCCTCCTTCTGGCAAATAACTATAATACAAACTAAGGTACTTAAAGATACTTAAAAGGTGTGCTTAACAAGTTCCAAAACATCCCTGTGATCAGTGAATTGGGAGTTAGGGTACTTGGGTTCCAGTCCTATATCAGCAGCTATATTGCTTTAGGGCTTGGGGTAGTGTGGTGGAAAAACTCTGAATTTTAAACAACAGTAAATATTTTTTAAAAAATTTACCCCTATTTTCTAAACGTCGTGAATCATACCTAACCTTTCTTTTTGGAGGTGCTGAAAGTTACCAAGAGACGCTCTGAAACTCAGTTTCCTCATCTGCAAAATGGGCATAAAATGGGCATACTAATACCCGCAGTATTCATATACCATAATCCTCAGTCCGGAGACTCAAGCAAGATAAGCGATGTTAAGCAAGGGGCTTTGCAACGCTCAAAGCGCTGTATAAAGTTGAATAGTTCTTATCTCAGCCTGGACTTTCTCCCATTCATCTCTCCTGGAGAGCTACACTTAGCCAAATCGCCCTAACTTCTCAGGAACTACATTTCCCAGCAAGCCCCTGGGGTGGCGCCTGCGCAGTGTGGTGTGGGGACTTGGCCTGGCCGGGGCTGGGCTGGCAACGTTGACGGTGGCGGAGGCAGCGATGACCCAGTGTAGGGGTCCGGTGGAGAGCCCGGCGCACCGGATCCGGGACCAAAGCCGGAGCCGCCCCGCAACGCCGACCTCGCGGGAACGCGCCGCTGCTTGCAAGTAATTGTGGGGACAGAATGTGGGCCAGTCAGGCCTGGGACCCTAATCAGGGAAATTGGGGCAGGGGTGTCAGGGAAAAGAGGAGGGGGCAGTGGAGGGAGTTGGGCTTTTTTTGGCGTGTGGGGAAAGGGCCTGGGAAAAATTGAAGGGGAAAGGAGGTGGGGGGAGGACTGACTTCTGTTACCTCCTCTGATGCTTAGTAGCTGTTTGACCCTTCGAGAATTCCTTAACCACTCAGCCTCAGTTTCCTCATCTGTAAAATTGGGGCAGCCTGGTGGCGCAGTGGATAGAGTGTCAGCCATGGAGTCAGGGATACCTGAGTTCAAATGCAGCCTCTGACACTTACTAGTTGTGTGACTCTAGGCAAGTCTATTAACCCTGTTTGCCTCAGTTTCCTCATCTGTAAAACGAGCTAGAAAAGGAAATGGCAAACCACTGCAGTGTCTTTGCTGAAAAAACCCCAAATGGTGTCACAGAGAGTCATACATAGCTGAACAACAACAAAAACAGGGGATAATGATATTACTTGTACCATGTGCTTCCTGGGTTGGTTACAAGACTCAAATGAAATGACTCTTGCAAACCTAAGGAACTATGTGAATGCCAGTTACTATTAGCTAGCTAGGCATTTCTGTCATGCTGTAAAGTTTGCAAAGCACTTTATAAATGTTATTTCAGTGGATCTTCGCAACAGCTCTGGGAGGTAAGTGCTATTATTAATTTCCTTTCAGAGATGCAGTGATTTGCCCAGGATCATACAGCTAAGTGTCTCAGGTTGGATTTGAACTCTGGACTCCAAATCCAGTACTCTATCCACTGCACCATCTAGCTGCCTTATTATTCCTTCTGTTACTTACTATTATTTCTGTAATTAACCCAGCCTTCTTATTTTACAGATGGGTCAACTGAGACTCAGAGACTTAACTTTTGCAAGGTCACAGAGCCCAGGACTCAACTCACCTGGAGAAGATGGACTCTGATGTGTGTTCCTCAGAGGCTCCGGCCATGGACCTGGAGGAGTCAGAGGCCTCTGTTCTTCTCTCTTCTTTTGATTCCCCACCCTCAGTTGCTACTCCCTTAGGACCTACTTGCCCTTGGGACCCAGCAGTCCCTGAGGCAGCTTCAGCCAATGATCTTGAAGGGACAGGGCCCAAGGGTTTGGGGAGTCTGAACCTGATGGACCTGGATGAAGACCCTAGTGAACAGGAACTTCAGGACCTGGTAGACCAGTTCCAGGCCCTGCCTTCAGACTTGCCAGAAGCACCCTCCCAGGATGGACACCCGTGTCCCCTCCACATTGCCACTGGCCGTGGCTTGGCCACTCCAGAAGCTCCAGAAAATCATGGACTTTTGTCATCTGAAGCCAGGCATGAAGACCTGCTCAGTCTCCTGTGCAGTGAGGGAGAAACACTTCTGTCCCAAACAGCCCCCCCAGGCCCTGAAGGCCCCCAAGACCCCATCCCCTGCCTTCTCCAGCCCCCAAAGGACTGTGCCGAGAGGACAGAGGAGAGGCCTGTGGATGGAGAATGTAGTTCTAGTAGCTCCCCAGAGCCCTGGATGGGACCCATTCCTCTGGCCCATTCTCAGGAGCTGTCCCCTGATGCTGGCACCACCCAGGTAAATAGGATTTTCCCATCTTCCTCAGCAACACCTAGAAGCCAAACCAGGAGACCTTGTTGCTAAGCTTCCTCCTTTCTCATGTTTCTTTCCAGACCCCTGAAGCCTTAGCATCCTATCCTGCCTTCCAAGAAGGTGAGTGTCCTTTTCCTTCTCCATTCTACCAATTTGGGATCTGAGGGGCATGTCAAAAGGGAAGGACAAGGGTTGATCTCTGCTTCTGAGATGGCCAAGCTAGAAGGTAGGTAGGTGCTCAGCAGACCTGGAGGGAAATGGAGAGTTCTAAACAGGGAGGTCTAGACCACTCAAAATAGACTTTAGTGAGGCTATCTGTGCTCCCAGAACCCATCATGGTTCTCTAGTTGAGTACTGCAAGCTGTTTTGGGCTTCTAGAGTAATATGTAGGTCAGACTATTCACTGGCATCTGGAGTCATAGGTGACATGGGTTGCAGTTATAGACTTTGGAGGGGTGGGGCGACAGGTTTAGGATCTATAAGGTTCACGGTGCTGTGATTACCCCCAGGGCTCCCAGAGAGAGATCTGAGAAGTGAAAGTGAGGGCTACAAGGACTCACCTACTTGACTCTTGTCCCTGCCTTTCTTGTTCCTGTGTCTTAGTGGCAGGACCCTGTGACCCAGAAGACCTGCTGGATGGAATCATTTTTGGAGCCAAGTATCTGGGCTCCACCCAGCTTGTTTCAGAGCGGAACCCATCGACGAGTGCCCGCATGGCCCAGGCTCAAGAAGCTGTAGACCGGATCAAGGTAAGGCCAGGAAGGACAGGGAAGGAGAGAACAGCAGGAGGAGAATGATAGGGT